TCGCATCCCCGCTCCCTGTTGCCCCCACGCTGTCCCTGCGCTGTCCCCTCTCTGTCCCGCTCAGTCCCCGCGTTATGGCCTCGCTGTCCCTCCTCTGTCCCCGCGCTGTCCCCACACTGTCCGCACCTGCAGCGGCTGCACCTGCTCCAGGTCCTCGCACTGGGAATTGTCCTGCCAGGGCCTCCCGCTGTCGTCTGTCACCCAGCGCCCGTCGGGGCCGCAGCGCCGGGCCACCACCCCTCCCTGCACTGTGACACCGCTGTCACCCTCTGTCCCCGCCACGGGGACCCCCGGGGCTGTCCCCTGTCCCGCGTTACCTCGGTGGTGCCAGGGCAGGTACCAGGGACAGGGGACAGTGGCGGTGCTGTTGGGGACAGCGTCTCCCCAGCACGCGTAGAGGTCGAAGCTGCGGTTGCAGACGGGTCCTGGGGGGTCGTGGGGAGGGGGTCAGGGAGGTCCTGGCGTGTCCCCGATGTCCCCAAAGTGTCGCCGCTCACCTGGGGCCGGCGGGACCAGGCGCAGGTGAAGCTCGCAGGCGTGGCGGTACTGTCGCCACGCCACCAGGGTGGCCTGGGCGGAGCGCTCCTGGGGGGACAGCGGCGACATCAGCGGCGACATCGGGGGGGAAATCAGCGGGGGACAGCGGCGACATCAGCGGCGACATCGGGAGGGGACAGCGGGCGGAGAGGGGGGACATCAGCGGGAGATGGAGGAGGGAGGGAGGGCGACATCGGGGGACAACGCGGGGCAACGGGAGTCAGTGGAGAGGCACTGGGAGAGAGCGGGAGGTGATCTGGGGACAGCGTGATGACAGAATGGGACAGCGGGGGACAGTGGACACCGCGGGACAACGTGGGGACAGCAGGGGGCAGGGGTGGACAGCGCGGGGACCTCGGGGGACAGCGGGAGCACAGCAGGGGACAGCGGGGGACCGCAGGGAGATGTCGGGGGGTGTCGAAGGGGAGTCTCACCTCTGCCGCGCTGGGGACGCGGCTCAGCGGGGCGGGGGTCGCTGCCCGCTGGCCCATGGTGGCTCCTGCGGGGATCCAGGGTGACCCTGGGGGCGTCCCGGGGCGTCCCGAAAGGGCCATCCCGGTCCCCCTCCGCCCCCTGTTACCAGCGCGGACCCCACTTGACGCGTCCGTTGTCCCTTGTCGCCTCTCGATGTTCCTTATCCCCCTTACCATGTCCCTTTTCCCCTTCCCACTCCCCCACGGGTGTCCCCCGCCGCCCCCCAAAGTCCCCTCGCAGCCCCACGACCCTCCTCGATCCCCTCGTTGTCCCTTGTCTCCCGTCCCCGTGTCCCTTATCCCCCCTCTCCAGGTCCCGCCTCCCTCCACGGCTCCCCCCGAGTCCCCCCATCCGGGGACGCCCCCCGTGTCCCCCCGGTACCGGCTCCGCGCGGGGCTCTGTCACTCTCGGGGACACCGGCACCGGCTGGGACCGCCCCCGGGAGGGGCGGGGGTCGGGAGGAGCCTCCGTGTCACCCACGGGGTCCCGGTGTCACCCACGAGGGTCTCAGTGTCACCCAGGGGCTCCCAGTGCCACTCCCCGGGATCCCAGTGTCACTCACGGGGGTCGCAGTGTGACCCATGGGGGTCCAGTGCCACTTATGAGGGTTTAGTGCCCCTTACAAGGGTCTCGGTGTCACCCACGGGAGTCCCAGAGCCACGGGCGGGGTTCAGTGTCCCTTACAAGGGTCCCAGTGTCACCCAGGTGTGTCCCAGCGTTCTGATGGGTGTCCCGGTGTCCCTCGGGTGTCCCCACCCGTGTCCCAGCGTCCCCCAGTGTACCCCAGTGTCCCCCCCCAGCACCCCTGGGTGCGGGGGCGTGTCCACAAGAGAAAGGGGCGTGTCCACACGGGGATTCATCCGTCCGCCAGGGGGCGCCATCAAAAGGGGCGCGCGCCCCTGACACTGCCCCGCCCCCCCCGCACTCACGTGCGCGCGCCCCGCGTGACGCCATCACTGCGCGCCCCCGCCCCGCGCGCCCCCCGGGCCCCAGGATGGTGGCGGGCGCGTTCCCGCTGGCCAAGCTGCTGACGCTGGGCGCGCGCCAGCTCAGCCGGCCCCTGGCCGCGCGCATCAAGGCGGGGGCGCGCGCGTCGCCTTTCTTCCGCACCTACATCTGCCTGCCCCCCGCCCAGAGTGAGTGACACCGGGGGACAGGGGACAATGGGGACATGGGGACACCGGGAGGGGACATGGGGACACCGGGAGGGGACCTTGGGGACACCGGGAGGGGACATGGGGACATGGGGACAGCGGGAGGGGACATGGGGACATGGAGGGACCCCCGCCCCCCGCCCAGAGTGAGTGACACCGGGGGGACAGGGGACATGGGGACAATGGGGACACCGGGAGGGGACATGGGGACAACGGGAGGGGACATGGAGGGCCTTGGGGACACCGGAAGGGGACATGGAGGGACCCCGACCCCCGCCCAGAGTGAGTGACACCGGGGGGACAGGGGACATGGGGACATGGGGACACCGGGAGGGGACATGGGGACATGGAGGGACCCCCGCCCCCCGCCCAGCGTGAGGGCCACCGCCGGGGGAGGGGTCGCGGGGGCCTTGAGGACATCGGAGAGGGGACATGGAGGGACCCCCGCCCCGGCCTCTCCTTCCAGTCCTACGTCTGCTTTGTCCCCCCCGCCCAGCGTGAGTGACCGGGGGTCAGGGAGGGGTCACCGGGGCGTGGGGACACAGGGGGACGGGGGGGGACCCTGTTCCAGTCCCTTCTTCCGCTCTTTCGTTTGCCC